ATCCCCTCCTTGGGTTTGTGCGCCGCCCTGAGTCCCGCCGGGAATAGGGAGGCATATAAATAAAATGAAACTCGAAACTCAAAACTAACTACCTATTGCTGTGCAGATATTCTTTTGAGGGGTCCTTGATGCTCTCTGAGCTTGGTTGTTTTCTTGCAGGCATTTCATTCCTCAAACCAAGGAACATCATGAGTGAGCTACATATTCTTTGTTTTTTTTTAAAAAAAAAAGCCATCTGCTTATTTTAGCAGAAATACAAGAAATTGCACAAAATAGGTAGTTAAAATTTAAATTACTGCAAACTAGTGCTGCACAGCTGTGCCTTATTCTGTGGCAGTTCCTGTTGCTTAGCCTGCTTACCTGTCGTTCTTTTGTCAGGCACTCAATCTGCTTTAGCTGTGTGTTAATCATGGTCTGTATATTTGCTTCTTCAAGTTTAGTTCCAGTTGTGTTCACGCCAATAAATTTCCAATGCTTCACATGTCTTTGCTTCTGCGGCCAGATGTGCCCAATTTATAAGAGCTAGATCCAGTTTAAACTAAGATGTCCTCATCATTTCTTTGGAGCAGTGGTCTTGATCCACTCATGTCTCTATCTTGAAGCTCTCCTTACAAATTGTTACAATTAGGAAGGGAGAAAAAAGGAATCCAAATATCATTTCCTTTCCCATATTAACCTATTGATGCACAGAATCCAATTAAGTTGCTTGATCTCTTGGGGGAAAAAACATAAATACTTGGTGTAAAAATGATAATACCTTTAGAATGTCCAACTTGCAATTTTAAGACAACCCTCTCCTTCTTAAGACCTCCCTTAATGACAAACTATTTATACAAATTGATATATTTTAATTTCACATGCAACATGTCTTAAGAGGGGATTCAAACTATTATGTTTCTTATCTGCTTAGTCATCATCTCTCCACTGATATTTAAAAACCCATATCAGGTGTTCAGTACTGTATGATATACACCACTCTTCCGCAATCTGATGCTTTCCATCTGCAGTGGAAAAGATGATCGATTCTGGGCATTTTAATCAAACATTTTCTGAAAGTGCAAAGCCAGGGGGAAGGCAGATGTAGATAAATGGAGTGAACTGTCACATAGAAGAGGACAAATACTTGGTTGGCCTAGTGAGCAGACATAGACGTGCAGTTCAGTTCATGTTAGCCATGAGCATCTGCAGAAGGCCAAATGATACAAAGGTATAAAAGGAATAAAGCTTGCATCATGACATCAAAGCATTTATTGAATTTCATTTTAATTCATTCAGTTTGCAAGGTCACTCAAATCAGAATGACTGTGAGTGGCCTTAAAAGTTGATAAAATGGCAACAAAGAACAAATAAGCAACACAGAAAATAGGGCACACTCTATGCAGCAAGAGGACATTTGATGAACTCTTGGCTTGTAGCATAATGCTTCAGTTTCAGATGAACAATAAGAGAAAACATTCGAGGCATTGTTTGACAACAGAATTAACTAGCTAGATTGATGGTAGAGTCCTCTTTTGTGAGAAGATCTTCAGTTAAAAGGTGGTAATTCATTAGTTCTCAGTTTCATGCTTAGTTGAATTTCTTTCCACTTGTCTGCTTCTTGATCTATGAAGTGGTAGTTGTTTGGAGAGATTTGTTGAAGTGTCCATCATACACTGAATATTTTTCAGGGACCTAATTTTAACTAGCTCAAGACATATGTTTATATACATTAGCTGCTTGTTTGCAGGATTTTTTGTTAGGTTATCACAGAGATGTTGTTTTGACGAATTCCTAGCCATGGTTTATCCTTTATTCATGCTGCAGGGTACGAAATTCCTGGGTGCCTACCTGCCTATGGCAGCCTAGAATACTCCAGGGCAGGCTCGCAAAATCTTCACCTAGCCTCTGGGACAGGTAATTAAAGAGTGATATTTTATCAAGTTAATGCTTATTTTATAACTTTCTGCTATTGCTTTTTTTTTCATTCCCTATCTCCCTTGCCAGTCATTTTCTTGATGCTTTGATAAAGGAGAAAATTTGAAAATAAGCCCAATTTGTTTACCTGCACCATCAGTTTCATGGCCATATAGTCGAACTATTGTTACAACTAAAGGATGGTAATCAAAATAGTTTTTTTTAATAAAGGTTCTGTAATGACTTCTGAATTGGGTTGGCAACTTTTTGCTGGCCCCAAATCCTGTGTCTGAACCCTGCAGAAAATGTTTCACTTCACATAAGATTTTTGAGTGCACAGAAGCAAGTTGGACAGAACATTTGTAACACTGAACAAGAATCTCTTAATATAATGGTTACTGGAATTTAGCCATTCTACTGTGAAGCTAGTTGATGGCTTTTTTGAAACTTGAATTATACTTACTGTGAAGCTCTAATTTCAATAGTTACGCTTTTGTGAAAAGAAATAAGAATTATGGTTGATTCTAAAATGACCAATTCTAGAATGCCTTTCCCTTTTGTGAACTGAACCTTTTTCAGGTGATTTCTCCATTTATCTTCATAATAGTCATTAGTATTCTTGAAAGCTGTAAATTTACCTCTTATTTTTATTGTGAGGCTTCTACAGCTCTTTGGAGGCATACTTTAGAATAGAAGAAGGCTTAGCATGGAGTAATTCAGTAATATACAGCCAGGAACAGCAAAACTGGCTCAGGCAATAGAACTGCATAGAGATGGAGCCAGCTCTTCAAGCCCCAAAGATTACCAGGGAGTGAATCTAAAGGAGTATAGCGTTCCATAGGGCAGGTGTCTTTGCATCTTCTTGAGGTCTCATTAGATGGCGTTGTGTAATAAAGAGGCCAATATCTCTCGTGGGAAGAGCAGAAATGTTTAGAGAAAGGTGATCCCAAAAATAAACCTCTACCATGCTGGCCTTTATAGGCAATCACCTTGAATTGAATCGGGAAGGAAATTGAGCTGTGGTGGCACAGTGGTTAGAGTGCAGTACTGCAGGCTACTTCTGCTGGTCACCGGCTGCCAGCAGTTTGGCAGATCGAATCTCACCAGGCTCAAGGTTGACTTCCATCCTTCCAAGGTGGGTAAAATGAGGACCCAGATTGCTGGGGGAAATAGGCAGACTATGTAAACCGCTTAGAGTGTTGTAAAGCACTGTGAAGCGGTTTATAAGTCTAAGTGCTATTTCTATTGCTAAAATGCAAGCCAGTGCAGCTATTGAAGGAGAGGTTTTACTTAGGTGTACAGAGCCACACCTTTAACTATCTCATTACTACATTCTGGATCAGCTACAGTTTTCCAAGTAATCTTTTAATTATTAATTATTTTATTGTATTATAAAATGTAAAGAATACATTANAAAAGACAATAAGATCCTGTCTTATTTTCAGGGAAACAAGGTAGAAGTTGTTAGAAAACCAGTTCAATTTGATTGCACATAGCACAATTCTCTGTTTAGTGACTATTAGATGTTATCTGATGATGTCCGTTATTTGAAGGTGCAGAAACATGAGAAATAGAATGACTGAGTGGACATGTACTTACAGAATAATCCTTTATAACAAGGGTACCCAACCTTTATGACTTGGTGGGCTGGGAGGGGGGAATGCAAGTGGTGGGTTGGTGCGTGCATGCGCCTGCTTGTGTAAGTCAAGCTGCATGTGCATACCAGCCCACAGCTCGTGTGAGTAGAGCTATGTATGTTCCAGCCCACCACTCGCACGAGTAGAGCTGCAGGCATGTGCACATCGGCCTATTGCTCGAACGGCCCATTTCTGGAATGACCTGATTGTGGGCTGCGGCCTGGGGGTTGGAGACCCTGCTTTGAAATGTTCACCACGGACAGCACCTGTGTAGCCTGTTTAAAAAGGCACTCAAGTCATCATAAAGAAACATATAAGTGCTGGGACTCATCTCTGGGGCGGGGGGGGGATGAGTCTGCCTATTGAGATGAGGTGGACCAGTTGCTTTCGTTATGTTGAGAGAATAACTCAGGGAAGCCCCCTGAAGCCTGGAGAAGGCAAAAACCCACCCAATGTGCAAACCGCAAGTTCGGGAACGGACTTCCAGTTTGTGCTTTGGGTTCCTGAACTTCCGGTTTGCGTGTTGGGTGGGTTTTTGCCCTCCAAAGCCTTCACTGAAGCCTCCGGAGGGCAAAAAATGGCTAAAAATCAAGGGCGAAAATCAGCGTGCACATACACTGATAGGGCAACATCTCACATGCCCTCAGAAATGACTCCGCATGCCACCTGTGGCACGCATGCCATAGGTTCACCATCACGGGTATAGAATGTGAAGGATATGTGTTTTTATTTTATTTTTATAGTTTTCTTATGTATCATGTACACTGAAGATGGCATTTAATTTTGTTGTAGGAGGTGCAATGACAATAAAGTAAACTAACTAACTAACTAACTAACATTCTGTTTAAAAACATTTTTTCAGTTCTGCTTACCTGTGTATTAAAGCATGCCCATTCTTATTCACATTGTAATGGATTTCCTCTCCCTGTGTGCAATATTCTTCTATTTTGGTCTCATAGTAGAATCCTTTACTTGTCAGTAGAGCCGGAAGTAAGGTTGATTGACCCCCAAAGGCAGGAGCCAGTTCTAACCCTACCATTTCACAACGTGAATCTTGGGCAGCAGATGCTACAAGATGGCAGCAGCAGTGAGTTTAAGGGCCTATCCAAAATCACATAATCTGTTTCTTCCATTGCTGGAGCTAAACTCACAATCTTACGGAGGTTTAACTTTCAGTTTAACATGTAAATGGCATTAAGGGAAGATACCATCTTGATTTTCACTTCCGGCAATCAACCTGTCTTAAGCCAACCCAGTACCCGATTATAGACCATTATAGCAAAGTCTTACCTAGATATGAACATGAGGAAATATCACTTTATTTCGGTAAAGATTGGTAGTGTGGTTTGTAATTATACAGACCCTATTGTGCCTGGGAAATATACCAGTGGTTTTTACCTCTGTTGTAAGATAGTGCTGACAGGTTTATTCTGGCATGTGGTAATAGAAAGGTATTTGTTTTATGCATCATGCACAATATTGGGGGTGTGGGAAGGGCTGCAGAACCATGAAGAAAGATATAAAAGTCAAACAAAAAGA